GGGGGGGGGGGGGTACAGAGGGGAAATGAGGAGGAGGAAAAGAAAAGGCTGTTATATTCCTCCGTTTCTTGTCTTTGCCGTGCAAGTCTCTCCATCATGATCAATGGTGTTTCCTTCAGCCCTGATAGTTTGCTAAAATGGTTCCAGCAAAGCTCATTATATTAATTAACTTTTTAATTATTTGTCTCATTTGAGAGGGATGACATCCATTAGCAGCTGTGATTACCTACATTTACTAAATCTAGCCTGCTATTATAGCTCACGACACTTTCTGCTCCTGTAGACTCACTTTCTCTAAATTTAAAACGAGCAATTTCATTCCATTTATATTTACTATTTTATTAAGTCTTTTTCTATTAGTAAAATTTAGCTTTTTCAGGATTTTTTTATTTTTTATGAACTTTTGCTCAATTATGGCAAAAATCTTAATCAATTATTTTTGGTCAGTATTCTAATGGCGATCATTTAACACAATTAGGACTACACAATATTACCAACTTTTATATGAGTATTTTAGTGATATATCATAAAGTACATTTTTGCTATGATATCAAAATTTCAGATGTGAAATTTCACAATTCTCGACACCAATTTCGATACCACTAATACTAAGCTAACTAATGTAATTGGGGAGGAAAGTCCTTGTTTAGTTAATCTTTGTTTAATTTTGCATTTCTGCTATACGAACAGCTACAAATGGTATTGTGAAAGATAATGGGTCTCATTCAATAGTAACTTTTGTGGATTATTCATATTTATATGAACAGGGGAGATTCTCACAAAAATATTATGATATTAAAATTTTCTCAACCTCTACCTTTCCTTTACAGTCTTTTGTCACTCTGTTTTACTTTCTTCTTTTTTTTTAAATGAATTTAGAAAATTTAGTACAAAATGTATTGATTAATTGTGATTTGTTTGTGAAAACCTTTGTACGCAAAGGTTAGTGAATGAGACCCAGTGATTTTAAATATTCTCTCATTTTTAAAAAAAAATTAGAACTATTTTCCTTTTGATCCAAGGAAAACAAGATAGAAAAATAATAATCCATGACCTCTTTCGACTTCCATATGTTTTGAAATGTGCTTTTTATACATTTAAAAAAAAAAATTAAGTCCAGTTTCGTAGTTTTTTTTGGGCAAACTAATTTTGTCAGAAAAAGAAGATTTTGTCAATCCTTTTTTTCCAGTTTGAGGAAGACCGTATATACAGGCACTTGGAACCTGCCTTGGCTTTCCAGCTGGAGCTCAACCGCATGCGTAACTTTGCACTGACGGCCATCCCCTGTGCCAATCATAAGATGCACCTGTACTTGGGAGCTGCCCGCGTGGAAGTGGGCACCGAGGTCACAGATTACCGCTTCTTTGTGCGGGCCATCATCCGCCACTCGGACTTGGTCACCAAGGTAGGAGCATCTCTGTGATCTGTGTTTGCATCCATAAACCTGGTTGGTTGTGTGACACTCTATGGTTCCCTGTTGTGAAGGAAGCATCGTTTGAGTACCTGCACAACGAGGCAGAACGTTTGCTGCTGGAGGCCATGGATGAGCTGGAAGTGGCCTTCAACAACACCACAGTGCGCACCGACTGCAATCACATCTTCCTCAATTTCGTCCCAACCGTCATCATGGACCCCTCTAAGGTTTTAATGAGTTTCAAAGGATTGTTGTTTTAGGAAGATATATATCTGCATGCGTTTTGAGCTCTTGTGTTCTTATTAGATTGAGGAATCTGTGCGCTCCATGGTCATGCGCTATGGCAGTCGTCTGTGGAAGCTCCGCGTGCTTCAAGCTGAGCTCAAGATCAACATCCGACTGACACCCACTGGCAAACAGATCCCCATCCGTCTCTTCCTGACCAATGAGAGTGGCTACTACCTGGACATCAGCCTGTACAAGGAGGTCACAGACTCCCGTACAGGACAGGTGGGGCACAAAGACCGACAGGTGGGGCTCACGTGTCTCTCATTAACACAAACACATATATACTCAGACAGCTAAAACTGAACAACAGTACTATGCCTTTGTCATCCCTCATTGTTTGTTAATAATTGT